ATACTACTGATAATCCCACAAATGCTTAAAAGATGAATATATGATATATCCCAGTTTAATGATATCACCTTGTAAATGCCAATAAATCAATCATGTAGTTGTTGACCTTATCCCAACTCCATGATGGTGACTGAAAGTAAAAAAATGAACAGAATTAATGACCTGGAGAATCACAGTATTTTTAGGAGCAGGTATTTATTTTGATCAATTACCATGTGGTCTAGTTAGAGCATCTAGAAATGTATTCAGTAAGAAGACTCTAAAATTTAGAGCGGAGACTAATGGTTAAAATACACTTCTTCTCTAAAAGGAATGGAGGTATAACTAAGTGATGTCTGCGATTATGGTTTTAAAAACATTTGCTATAGCCAAGCGTGGTGGTGCATGTCTTTAATACCCACACTCAGGAGGCAGAGGCCGGCAGATCTCTGTGAGTTTGAGACTGGTCTACATAGTCAGTTCCAGGTGAAGTAGGACTACATAGTGAGCTTTAAAAAGCATTTGGTATCATAACACAATATTTTATGAGAGGAGACAGTGAGTGAGTCCGTGTCTAAGAATAGTGCTTGGGATGCCTGTTATGTCAGGAAAATGAGGGAGAGGAGGGTTCATAGAAGGATGCTGCTGACATTTGGCACTATGGGGAGAAGAAAGCTGAGTTTTAGAGGCATGGCATGAGAGGGTTCATCATGCTTTTTGACTTTGGAAACTATAGTTTTTCTCCCTCAAAGAGACATTTGTGGGCTTTCTGTAGGGTATAACTTCTCTAGTTTTATTATAAAGAAAATAACTGAGGACCTATTAAAATGCAAATTCTGATTCAAGATATCTGGGCTGGAATTGAGACTGTATATTGTGTTATTTCTTACAATTCCCAGGTGATACTGGTGGGTGTGATTGTTCATTGGTAAGAGACATTGAAAGAATAAGTCAGTATGATAAACATGGGGTTCAAAGGAGAAGATAGATACAAATGGATCGGTAGAGATCTAACAGCACATCTTGACATGGACTCATCTGTAATGACTGACGGTGGGCAAGAAAATCAATTCTTGAGTACACACATGTAAATTGTGATTCTATGAATATGAATAAGCAAATAGAGGAGGTCACTAAGAGAGGGAAGAAGGATGAGAGTTAAATAAATGGTGAGCACAGCATTCATGTAGAGACAAGTCTTCTGTGTCCTTGTTGAAGATGTTGGAGTAGAAAGAAGTTAATACTCGGGAATATTATTTCAGTTACAATCTTAATTGCAAATAAAAGGATACAAGTGTTTGAGGGAGAGGGACATATTCTTTTGGGAAGCCTTTAAGAGTCAGGGTAAATGAGGCTGGTGAGATGGCTCAGAAGTTAAGAGCACTGGCTGCTCTTGCAGAAGACCCAGGGTCGGTTCCTAGCACCCACATGGTGTCTAACAATGATCTCTAACTCCAGTTTCAGGCATCTGTTACCTTCTTCTGGTCTCCATGGTCATTGCATGGCATGGGTGCATTTACGTGCAGGAAAAGTATACAAAATATAAACAAATAACTATATAACCTTTAATTAAAAAAAAACTCAGAGAAAAGATCCAATGGAGCAAAGGAAAAGACACAACTGGCAGTAAACAAATCATGTCTTTATGAAAAAGAAAGATTAAAAATAGAGATAAATATGGTTAAAAACAAAGACATGAGAAAACCGGGAAAACTAAAGAAAACTCTAGTGTTCTTCAGGATAATGGCTTTGAAAATCATCCCAGTGGTGCTTGCTGATAATCTTAGCCCCTAGGACACCAAGGGTGGAAGATTGCAAATCAGAGTTTAACTTGAGCAAAATAGCATGTTCCAAGCCAGTGTGAGCTATGTAGTATGATCTCATCTCAAGAAAAAGCCGGGAAATAGAAAGGATAACTTTTGCAAAGCTAAGGAGGAATGGAAGATGCTAAATATCAAAGAATTGAAGTAAGAGGACTTGGTACAAAATTAGAGGTAACAAATAAAATAAAATAATTTTTTCAGAATAAATCAGAAAGCACATGCTATCCATAAAGCCAAACTGACTTTGACTAATTCACTTAACATTGCTGGAATTTGCTGTTGTGTTTCCTTAATTATATACCAAGAATTGTGGTATTTCTTTAAAGTCATACAGAAAAATGGAGGGATAGTTTGAGTTCCCCAGAAGTACATTGTTTCATTGTCCTTACTTATCACATCTGTGTTCAAGGTCGAACTTCTAAGAAAGAGTGCCCAAATTGCAGATGGCTCTCCAACTATAGGTTTTACAAGTTAACTGAGAAATTCACAGAATATTTTTCCTCACTTTGTTTGTTTTTGTTATATTTAACATGAATGTCCCATTGTGTTGAAACAATTTGCTCTCTTTCACTCATTTTGTGGTATTATTGATATTGAGGTGACTTGGAACTTGTAGCCAATTGTGTCAGCTTGTGGTGTAGTTAAAATAGAGAATGCAGTATGCAAACAGCAATGTTAGAGACAGTAATTGTGAAAGAGAAGCGCTCTGTAAACCTGAATGTGCCTTCTATATAAAAATGTGTTCTTCTTAGCCAGGCTACTGTAGGGCCCATTCCCACCACAGACTGTCTCAGAAGACTCAGCTAAATTAGGGAACTTATTTTCAGAGGGACTCTATCATTTTCTTAAATCCTCTCTGCTGGATCTAGTGCAGAAAGACTGCTATGACCCCTCTTGCTAATTCTAGCACCACCTGCTGTAACTCTTAAGGAGTGTGCAAGTTTAATAAAGGACAGCAAATGTGATTGTGTAGAGGGGTAGCAGTTCCCCTGGGAGGTGATTCTCCATGCAGGCATCTGCCCCTGACGTCCAAGTGTGCCCACATGCACGTAGACCTATTGTGTCTAATTCTTTCTGAATATCATTACCTCAACTTGTAGCAACTGAGACATAATGTGACTCAATGTACAAATTTGCATGTTTCTGATGAAATATTCTTCACTCTTAGTTTCAATACTTATTTTTGTATTTCCTTGAGTAAAGTTCTTTAATGGAGTTATTTATAAATTTTTATCTTATGTGTATGAGTGTTTTGCTGGAATGTATGTGTGTCCATGGGTGTAGTGTCCAGAGAGGTCAGAAGAGAATATTGGATCCTCTAGAACTGGAGTTTCAGACAGTTGTCAGCTGCCATGTGGGTGCTGAGAACAGAACCCCAGTCCTCTGCAAGAGCATTCAGTGCTCTTAACTACTGAGCCATCTCTCCAGCTCCACAAAGATTGTGATAAATGTGTAAATGTGTGTGTGTGTGTGTGTGTGTGTGTGTATTATGGGGCCAGTGAGTAAAGGCACTAGTCTACAGGCATGATGACTGAGTTCTCTCCACAGTCTCACAAGATGGCAAGAGAGAACCAATCCCAGAGTTGTCCAAGTTGTCCTCTGACATCCACATGTGTGCTCTGCATGTGTGTGTGTGTGTGTGTAAGAGAGAGAGAGAGAGAGAGAGAGACAGAGACAGAGACAGAGACAGACTAAATAAAATAAATAAAAAGCTATGAAAAGATTATGAAATATAATTCAAGAATATTCAGCCATTGTTATCAGATTTTTGTTAAGGTTATTTTTCTAGAACTTAACTGACCCCACTTAAGTTTTAATTCATGTATACAGCTTTAATTAGACAAAAAATAATTTTATTGCTTTGAGGATTTAATACAGTGTATTTTGATTATTTTCAGACCCCTTTGTCCCCTATCCACTTCCACCTTACTCCCCCAACTCCATGTCCTCTATTATTGTCTTTTCTTTTAAGGCCTATTTGAATCTAATCTGTGTTTCCAAAATACTTGAGAGTGAATCTATTGCTTGGAGTCTGGTCAACCTACCAGGTGGCACACCAGCAGGAAAACTAACTCTCCCTCTCCCAAAAGCTATCAGTTGCCAATAGATCCTCAGATAAAGCTGGGGCTTCTTTCCCACCTCCCCCATCTATGCTCGTTTTTTTTTTTCTGACTTGGGTTTGCACAGGTCCTGTGCATGTTTTCATAAATGCTGCGGGTTCATATGTCTGTGGTTCCAGACAATGCAGTTTCCTTGTGTTCATCTACCTTATCTGGCTCTTATAATCTTTTGGTCCCTTTTTCTACAATGATCCCTGAGTCTTGGAAGGAGGGCTTCTGAAATAGGTATCTTATTTGGGCATGAGAACTCTGCAATCTCTTTTTGTTTCCACACATACAAGTCCTGTACCTCTTTGTTAATTGTCATCTGCCGCAAGAAGAATCTTCTCTGGTGAGAAATAAGAGATACAGTAATCTATACATATGTAATAGGAGTAACCAGGTTTCTGATTGGATTTAAGGCCTACTTCACTAGATGGAGTCTGACATTGTTATCAGGACCAAGAACCTGTGGCTAGACAGGTCACAGACCATAGGGGAGAGCCTACTACTATTATTCTGGTAAATAAATATAGTATTAAACTGGCTTCTAATGAAAAGTGTATTGTAAGCTTCCTTGTAAAATTTGTGCAGCATTAGATATAGGCAATAACTTATGGCCATGTGCTCAGTTTTAATGAGTTTCCTTTTAAAATGTTTAGTTTGAAACAACAAATTAGAGTTTATTAAACTTTCATGTCATTCTCTTCCTTTTAACTTTCTTGAGGAATAAATTTTCCTACCATATAAATGAAATTTTAGGTTTTTTAACATTTAAGCATCAGCTACAAAAGTTAAAGTTTTTAAGATTAAATATATTATTAAAAATATTCAGAATGTTTGATATCTCACAGCATAATTTTAAAGTCAATGAAGAGACATTTTGTTGTAAGAGGTGTGCTGCATTATTTCATATTACATTCATAATCGAAGGTCATGGAATATGTGTTGCATTATCATAATTTTCTGATTAGTTGTTCTTTATGTATGTTTATATGTGGCCAGTTGCATTTCATTAATTCATAACTTCCTTGTAAGTTTGCACTTTCTATGTTCAAAGAATCTCTTTAATTCAATTTCTTTGTTTCTCCTCATACAGTCTGGCAGCCAGATATGCACCTCAGTCTAATCACAGTGGAATTGCAACCAGTCAAAAAAAGCCTACTAGGTCAGTTAATATCTCTAATTTACTGTTTGTTAGTGATAATCAAAAATTTTCCCAGTGATATGTTGTCCAATCACTCTAAATTTTCTTAAACATGGCACACTTCTGAATGAAAAGTTTAGAGCGATGAATTCTTTCAAGTGATTTCCCTTCCGAGTCTCTGGGATGAGTCTATGTGTTAGATTATTAAATGGGTTTGTAGTTTGGTTTCTATTGAGGTTTAATGATACATCATGCTATACTGTGAAAAATTCATGTTCTAGGTTTAGGGTAGGTGAAGAATAAATTCTTTGAAAGCCCTTTGAACCTTTCTAGGTCACAGAATCTAAAAGTTATATGACAAGAACATTAGCTGTTTTTAAAATAAGAATGTGTTAGGTATTACACATTTTAAAAGCACAATTGAGCTGGGATATTTGCATGGAGAAATTGCCACCAGGTCAGCCTAGACTGAAACTCTATATCTTATAATTTAAACTTCTCCTTTTTATGACCTATAGTTAAAGACAAATATCTGTTTATACTATTTAGAAAATAATGATATATAAAAATAATTGGAAGAACTTGATTTTCTTCGTACAGTTGATAAAGGCACGACGATAGCCTGGGCAGCTTAATAAAGACACACCAAGTGTTCTCACTCTGATATTGTTTGACTCTGTGTGCATTCTCACTTACTGGGGAGCTGCCCATGGTGGTGTTAGTCATTGCTACAGAAATGAATTGTGTAGCACAATGCACGACTTCACGGACTTGATAACGTGTTTTTCCCCTTGCCTTCATTTTCTATGCTAATTTTCATAGTAGTAAGACATTATTCTGGAGGGGAAAATGTTAAAAGACATATAATTTAAACTTGCAATAAATGACATAAATTAGTATGTGTGAAGCCAGTGAACTGTGATGGGTAATGAACACCCTTTGCCTCCTTGGGCATATAAGATATATTCTAAGTTCTTTTTTTTCTATTAGATCTCTGTATCACATACTCTCTCTTTTTCTTTTCCTTTTCCTTTTTTTTTTGTCTTCATCTCATCTCCCTTTGTATTGCTTTGATGAATGATCTGGAGGCTCATTTTGCCTGTAAATTAGGGTAATGAGAAGAGCAAATGTATCTTTTAATTTGTTTTAATTTGTTCTTCTGAGGACTGAAGATCACTTGGCTTCATGGGTCACAGTAAAGAATAAAATGCATCTTAATTGCCTTCTATAAATGGGTCAAGTTTCTTTACAAGCAGGGCAAGTTTGAGGATAAGCTTTGTTTACACATGAATTTGGAATGAATTTTCAAAGACTATTGTTATGTCTACAGGAATTGCTCTCATATTTATTGTGATTGGGACATTTGGCCCAGTTAATTAGTTAAGTTCTTTCTGTGGAGTGCAGTGTCTATAAATTCCTAGTGTCTGTGGTTATAATGCTGTATTTACAATCCCTTGTAGTTCCATTTGAGCAAAACTTAAATTCTGGACTCATTTGGAAAAGATTCTAATCTTGTGTATGATACAACCTTTAATTAGTAAAACAACTGAAGAGAATATTTGTTAGCCATGTATATTTAAGCACTGAAATATGTTCTTAATGTAAATGCTACAATATATTATTATTTTTGCAGTGACACCAACAAACTTTTGTAGTATTTGTGTTTTCTTGATGTTCATTTCTATTTTGTAATATTTTTGTTTATTAAAAGTATTTATACTTTTTAAGGTTTTGCTTTCTCAAATCCTTGCAAATAATGCATATAGTATTATAGAGATGTGTCCAAACATGATCATTGTGATAACTGAATTGTGGTACTTGGATATATAATAGATATAAACAACATGTTAAAATTTTCATTTGAAAATAGCTGTGAAAAATTCAGTGCTGTATCTGTCAACTTTCAATTATTTTGTCTTTCTTTTCGAACAGGAGTTCTCAGAGTAGTACATAGTCTCATTCACACGGTGGCAGCAAATGCCCACATGATGTTAGAAACATTCACATCAGGGTATACAATAAAACTTAGGTACAGCTCGTTACATGGTTGACAACTGACATTTTAAAGGAGAAAAGAATAATAAAATATAAACTGATACAAATTAAGCTTAATTGTATTCTAAATAAAATAGAGCCAGGTAATATTTTTCCGTCAAGTAGCTCTGATGGTAAGAGAGATAGCATCTATTTCTTTAGGGCTTGCTCTTTATGCACAGAGAGCAGTTCAAACTGCTGTTGTTGTAGATGTATTTTAAATTGTCAGTCTGCTAACAGTGGTTTTCTTCTTCTGAAGTCAGCATCCTGTCTCATCATATCTCCTCTTTGATCAGGCAGCCACACTTGAAAAATGACCAGCTAACCTTTCAGTGCTTATTTTTGACAAGATCATGAAAGATTTTTGTGAGACAGCCCAGTCATATAATTTAACTCTTGACCTCGGTCCTGGCATCATGTTTTAGTGTAGCTTACTAAATAACTACTTACTAAATTCTATTTGACGTTTGTTTTTTGTTCAATAATTTATTCTTATTGTCAATAATTTTCAGGACTTAGAAAAGGCTACCCAAGCTAAAAAGAAAATGATTCCACTGAAAGGAAAGTCTTAACAGCTGCAAATAGCTGATTGATATTCTGAGAAACAGAAAGTTAAATGTTATTGTTACTCTGATTCATCATGTAATTTTTATAGTGTTTGTTAAGACAAAATTCTATTCATCTGAGCAAGTATTTTCTAGCTAAAGGATACTTTATTTTAGGTTCCCTATTTTAAGACTCTTTGGGCATGCTTATTGAAAAGTGAAACAAGATTTTTTGATAATCTCTTACCTTGTGTCTAGCTATTTGTCACTTAAACCATAATTTTCCCCAACCTAGATCTTAGCGCACACCTAGTTGTGGGTTTCTCACCAACTCTTCCCTACTCAGACTTCCTTCTCCTTGATTTTTGAAGTGTACAATAATGATGTAATTTTTCTCATGCTATTTCAGGCTTCCAGGGCCCTCTAGGGTGCCAGCCGCAGGCAGCAGCAGCAAGGCCCAGGGAGCCTCCAATCTAAATAGGAGAAGTCAGAGCTTTAACAGCATTGACAAAAACAAGCCTCCAAATTATGCAAATGGAAATGAAAAAGGTAAGTTTTCATCTGTTACATCATTCCACCCCAAGTATAATGTGTGTCTTGTGAACTGGCGTGCTAACTTCAATATTTGAATAGTGAAACAGCTTCGGGGATGGAAATCTTAGCACAGGAGTTTCCTTATGTTTCTTAACTGTCCCCTTCTGAATTCCAGTTTTCTTCAGGGCCTTCCTTTTCTACAAATCATTTTAAGGAAATAAGTTCATTTATTTTAAAGTGTCTAATTATATACCCAAACATAAAATCTGTTTCACAAAAATACTTCCTTCCAGATGCATATAAATAGCATTTTGTATGCTTTACATGATTTATGAAAATTTATCCTGAAATTACAGACATAATCTTAAATTTATTTGCATCCTTATGTCAGTTAACATAAGTGAGAGTATATTCATGGAATTTAAGGCGGGAGCATCAAGAGTGTCTGAACATATGTGCCAACAGGTGTTTTAGTGTATACCTGGAATCTCAGTACTCAGGAGGCTAAGGCAGGAGGATTAATGCAAATTTGGCATCAACCCGGCTACATAGTAAGTCCCAAAACGATTTAGGCTGCAGAGCAAAGCCATGTCTCAAAATAATTAGAACAACAAAAAATTGAGGGAAGCTTATAATAGGTATTTATCTTTAAAAGTGGCCGTAGTCAGAAATATTGTGACCTCAGTTTTACCTAAACATGCAAATTATATGTATCATTGAAAATATCAATTACAAAATCATCAGGGAGAAAACACATGGAACTTAGTAAACACATGAAAATTATATGTAGCATTGTTGTTGTTTTAGAATATTATCTACTAAAAATATCAATTACAAAATAATCAGGGAGAAAACATATGGAACTTAGTGAAAGGCAAATTATAACTTATTTTTGTGCCATACAGTTACCTTGCAAATGTATATTCTAAGGTACACGCTTGAAACTTGTCATTTGTATTTTCGAGTCAAGGAGCGATGAGGTGAATGTGCAGAGTACACTCAAATCATGATGAAATCATAAAGCTGGACTTGTAAGTAGTGTGGCTGTTGGAATAGTGTTTCCAGATGAATAGAACTTCATAATTCCCTTAATAGTAGTTAATACTTTCAGCCCTATACAGAGCAGTATATGAAATTAAGAAGTGATTCATATGCTTAGTTAGCAGAACTCTGCAAATCTGTGTTGAATATTTAAATGAAGTATGGGTTCTTTTGCACAGGTTAGAAAATTACAAATTGTTTAAGTAGGTAATTAGACAGTGTTTTCTTATTCAAAGGAAAATTGGAAGGTATAATCTTGAAACAGATACTCTTTTATGAGTGTCTTTCCCCTTAACTAAAGCATAATTGGGAAGATATAACCCTTGGGAACAGAGCAGTTTGTTTTGATTCTTGGAGTATCCCCCATTTTGAATTCAGTAGGAAAAAGTGGAAAAAAATAGGATGTATTTGCAAGTCTGAAGCTTCTCTTTAAAACAGAGAATAGTGGCAGGCAGGAAAGATGGCTCAGCAGCTGAGAGTATTGGCTGCTCTTGCAAAAGATCCAGGTTTGGTTCCTAGCACCCACACGGTGGCTAACAACTGTCCATAACTCCAGTTCCAGGGGATATCATGCCCTCTTCTGGCCTCCACAGGTATGGCATGACATGGATGCACTTACATACATGTAGGTAAAACACTAATACACATAAAGCAATAAAATTTTAAAAATTGAACACAGAATGCTTTTGTTTAAATAAACACATCCCTAAAGCCTTAAGTTTTCTTGAGAAGGAATAAAATGGTCGTTTCTGATTTAAGAAAAATACTTTACCTCATTTCATGACACTCTTAGAGAGTATCCTAAAGATTCAAGCTAATTCTTCGGTACATGCTATAAATTTCTAGAGGAAGCTGAGAAGTTTACAAACAGATGTGTTTAATGGGTCACTGGTCTCTACTGAAAATACTAAGGCAAACACAAACAGACACACTATATATTGATTTAGAAATTTTTGGCAAAGTTAAATGTTGTGTCTGAATTTTTCTGTAATATCAAAGTCCTTATTTCTAGAACCTAATAGAAACCCCTAAATGGTTCACGCAGTAATATTTTTCTAATGCCATTCAACTTTTATGTATGTCTAGGGGTACTGAAAAGTTGGTGTGTAACAATATTTCTAACAACCACAGGGTGGAGACAAATACAATACAATATGTGCTCTTTGCTCACGCAAAGCAAATTCTGTGGGTACATATTGACAGTAAAAAACATTTGAGCTTTTGTAGTGAAGTGACTTTTAATTTGAAACCTAACAAAGTGAAAATTTCAAAACATTTTAAATGTATGTCATTAACTCTGTTTGGATCAGGAATGACAGCAGAAAGAACTGTGCACTTTATACTGAATCATGAGGCAATACGGAAGCTGGACTTCGTAGCTCCTTATCATATATTTGTAGACATTTATCATATATCAAATTTGGGCATTTTAAATGTCTGTAAATTTCCATTAAATTTATACTGACTTGCATTATCTAATACAGCTAACTGGAATTTATTTTATACGTGTGAAGCGCTTGCTTTTAAGCATAGAGTTATTTTATGTCACTTGATCCAATATTATTTCATAACCATCTTAAGATAATTTATATTTCTGATATGTTATCTTAAAGCATAATAAAAAACAAATCATAAATATTGCATTAAAATGAATTATAACTTACTCTGTCTCCAAATGCTGCATTCTTTAAATTAAGATATTTGATTTAAACTTTTTAATATGAAGATTTTTAGAAATTGCACGAAGCATATGCATTTAAGATTTTTTTGTGTCAATTAAAAATAAATTTAAAAATATAGTCCAACATCTGGAAAATTAGTCTTTGTGCTTATATCTTGTGTGTGACCAAGAAAGTATACAATTAAACCAGCATTGTCAAAAGCTATATTATTATAATAGTAGAGTTCCAAAAGTATCAACTTCAATGTAATAAATCTGATTATTTCTCATTAGTTATTAGAAGTTAGAATATATAAGCTGAACACATTAAGCTTTTTTATTTGCTGTTGAAAATGCAATTGAGGCTATTAGTTTAAAAAATCGATCATGAAATAAGATGAACAAAATTTTGATAATTATTGCTAAGAGGGAACTAAGAGATTGGATTCATTTTACTATTTTATGAATGTTCAAGGAGACCCATCATTAGGACAGAAAGTACAGCTCAGTAGTAGAGGATTTGCAGGGTATGCCTCATACTTAAGGTTCCATCCCTATTCTTCAGAACATATAATATATCAAAATTAAAATTAAAAAATGTTTCATTTGAAGAATTAGCTAAATTATAAATTCAGAGATCTCTAAAATTTGTAGTGTATAATAAAGATTTATTTCTATGAAAACAATTTCAATTCCCTATGAAGAAAAACTGTTCAAAACACAGAGGCTTTCCTTTGTACAATTCGGGGGTGAAGGAGTATCAGCTTATTTCCAAATGGTGTGACAGCTAATAGAATCAGTAGAGAGTTACAAGCCTCACTTCAATATCTAATAGCATTTTCATACTTCTACTAAGGCAGGTCTAAAAAAGTGCCTTCATTTCACCAAATGAATTAAAATGTCAGTGCACATTGTCATAAATTATTACTTGCAGAGAAGGCTGCAATAGAAATGTTACAGGAGAATGCAATGCCATCTTGCTGTTCTGTGAAGTGAACATGAGAACAAATTTCTCAGAACAAACGGTGAACTGAAGATCACATCTTTTGTAACGGTTTGGAGAGTCCTTTACTTTCCTCTCCTGATCACCTGCCATTCAAAAACTGACAATGAATAATACATTCTGAAAGCAGCATTTATCAATTTGCTCACATGCTCTGCAAGAGTGCTCTAGATAGATACATGCACCAAGAAAACCACATAGCAATCACTAGAAATCGATCTTGTGAAAATGAACCATGCTATGGTTTATTTGGCTGTATGTTTTACATGTCTTAAGAAACAACGTCAATAAATTAGTCTTCTAACATATGAAAAAGATACTGAATAACTTAACTATTGGGAATGCAAATATTTCTAGTTTTATTTGTGATCCAGTTCCCAAATGTTATCTATAAACATGGGTTGCCTGACATAGATCCTTAGAGGAGAGGTGGTTTTCCTTGTTGCTAAGAGATATGCCATAGCACCCAAGGGAATGCTGCCTACCATCTCACTATATCTCTCAAATGGTTCTTAATGTTGAACCTGTACCTTTAATGAAAAGGACAGCTCCTTTTTTTCCCTCTGCATTCTAACTGCACATCTTCTAGTGCAGAAGCTTTTTACTTTTGTTTAACTCCAAGTAGAAGTAGTAGAACTGATGTCAAAGATTTAGCAACATTTTAATTCATTGTTGTAAACTATTAGAGTTCATGTGAATCTTGCATCGGCTGTGGAATTTCAGAGGCCCCTTTTCATCTAAAACATGATGTGTTCAGCTCCTAAGTACATCTGTCTTTCTCAATCTCTTTTGTTGTTGTTCTTTAATTCTTGTAAAATTACTATAAGGAAATGAACTGTTTTCTTTTGTTCAAGATAATGCATACATTGTTTAACTATTCTAATATTTTACTCATTATTTCATTATGTTTACCATGACTCTTCCTTACTTTTTACTTAGACTGGCCTAATATATAATGCCAGAGCTATAATTTTATAAATCTTACACTTTTGCAATAGCAAAACTATGCACACACATCAGGTGGTATGATTAAATAGTCATGGTCAAGTATGTTGCTAGTGTTGGGGCTGGAGAAAAGGTTCAGTGGTTTAGAGCACTGGCTGTTCTTGCAGAAGACCCAATTTTGAACCCCAGAACCCACATGGTGGCTAACCACCATTTGTAACTCCAGGTCTAGGGGATCCAAGACTCTTCTCTGTCCTCTGGGCACTGTTTGACATGGGTGCACTTAAATACATGCAGCCCTAACAATGGTACACATAAAATAGATATAAATTTGAAAAAAAATAGTATATGTTTCTGGTTTACATGCACATGCACACATAATGGTGGGTTCTCTTTCATTTCTGTAGATAATGTACACATTTTTATAAAATACTGGCTAGTGAATAGAAGCATCTCTAAACATCACAGCCCACAAAGTGCCTCCTTTACTTGCAAATGAGTAAGCATGGATTAGTGTAAATTCTCATATTGAGCATAGGCTTTCAAACAGAGTAAGTTCTTTAGTTGACTTTAGATTGTTTTTTCGTCTTTTTGTTATTTAGTATTTGTTTTCTGAGCTGAGGACTGAACCCAGGGCCTTGTGCTTGCTAGGCAAATGCTCTACCACTGAGCTGAATCCCCAATCCCAGAATTATTTATTTGTTATTTTAAAGGGTAGAGAGTCTCTTATATGATGTTCTCACCACTGAAAATCTGCCCAGTGAGAAAGAAGAGAAACAGTTCTAAAAGCTACCCAGCTAACTTCACCACTGTCACAAACGCATTTCTTTGTGGCGAGCTGGGCCAGCAGAATATCTGGATATGCAACAAAGAATGAGAGCAAAGAAATAATTAAATCCTCCTAGTATTGAAGACAAATTTTATTTCCTATATTTTTTGGAATTATGAGTTGTACTGTATGTTGCTGGCAACAAGTTGCTTCTTTTTATGAAACCTCAATTTCCTCATTTCTCACAAGAGAAATACTAGGTATATTGGAGATTTTTATGGGTTTAAATGTGATACTCTGTATAAAAATCTCAAAGCATTCTTAGTATATTGGCTGATAGATTCTATTATGTGATTATGGCTAGTGATGGTATGAAGATGGAAAAAGAGAAGGACCGAAGGAAAATTGCTATTTGGAGACTAGAAATAAGAGGTCACTGTAAGCTGAGTAGGCCATGAAACAGAAGGTACAAAGCCACCGTTTTAATGCCTTTTGATTTGCATATCAGGTATATGTTCTTCATATACCAAGTCTCATTCATAGAAGCTGATTTATTCACCTTCAGAAACATGTTTTTGGGTCCTGAATGCTTATTTTTAAGTATATAAATGGCAGGTCCTTGGATTTCTGCTTCACCCTCTCTATAGATGTTATAGGTGCCATTTCTGATGTTGGTATTGTGCACCCTTTATCATAAGGAATCCAGAAAGATTTCTTCCTTCCAGGGTCTTCCAGATGCACAATGACCTGTGATTTGTCCTTTTAATGAGATGCCAAATTCTTCATTGGTGCTTCAAAGAGACAGATTGGCATACAAAAGTATCAAATTGTGTACTCAACTGAAAACAACTTTCCAGCTGTTACTATGACTATTACTGCCTTGGATGTGAATGTCATAATCTCGAGTCCCACTTGTGATCAATGCCATATAACATGTTGCTTTTTTAATTTTAAGAAGAAGAAATGTGTGTTGTAGTTAGAAATATGTGGAGGCTGGAGAGATGGTTCAATAGTTAATAGCACTTATTGCTCTTGCAGAAGACCCAACTTTGGTTCCTAGTGCCCATATCAGGTTTTTCAGGTGTCCACAATCACTTATACCTCGAGTTTTAGGTGATCTGACACAATTTTCTGGCCTCTACAGACTTAGGTGCACATTTTCATGCACCGACACACACACACACCAACACACACACACACACACACACACACACACACACATGCACATACATTTTTAAATGAAATATTAAATGTGATTTATAAGTGATCAAGACTAATGAGGGTTTTTTTTTTTTCATTTCCTTTCTTATCAGATTCTTCCAAAGGGCCTCAACCATCTTCAGGTATAAATGGAAACACACAGCCTTCCAGCACTGCTGGGCAACCCCTTGCTTCTGCCATCCCTTCCCCAAGTGCCAGCAAGCCCTGGCGCAGCAAGTCCATGAACGTCAAGCACAGTGCCACCTCCACCATGCTGGCTGTAAAGCAACCGAGCCCAACCACCTCTCCCACACCAACTTCAGACAGACTGAAGCCACCTGTCTCAGAAGGGGCCAAAAGTGCTCCCTCAGGACAGAAATCTATGCTTGAAAAATTCAAGCTGGTTAATGCTCGGACTGCATTACGTACCCCACAGTCTCCCAGTTCAGGACCAAGTGATGGTGGAAAGGAGGATGATGCCTTTTCTGAATCTGGAGAACTGGAAGGTTTTAACAGTGGTTTGAATAGTGGTGGCTCCACAAACAGCAGTCCCAAAGTGTCACCTAAATTAACCCCTCCAAAAGCTGGAAGCAAAAATCTCAGCAATAAAAAGTCTTTGCTGCAACCGAAAGAAAAGGAGGAAAAGAACAGGGACAAAAATAAAGCCTGCACTGAAAAGCCAGTCAAGGAAGAAAAGGATCAAGTGACAGAGACAGCTCCAAAAAAGACCTCTAAAATTGCCAGCTTGATCCCCAAGGGCAGCAAGACCACAGCAGCCAAAAAAGAAAGTTTGATTCCATCCTCCAGTGGGATTCCAAAACCGGGCTCAAAGGTGCCCACAGCAAAGCAATCTATTTCGCCTGGCAGTGCAGCAAACAAAGAGTCTGAGAAATTCAGGACTACCAAGGGAAGCCCTTCCCAGGCCTTCCCCAAACCCACACCCACTGACAAAGCAAGCACACCCAGCTGTTCTGCTCCTCCAGAGGGAAGGGAGACTGGCCACGCATCTCCCTCCATTTCCTGTGCTGGCCAGGTAGCACATAGCAGCGGACAGAGCACTGGAAATGGAGCTGTCCAGCTTCCTCAGCAGCAGCAACATAGTCACCCCAACACTGCCACAGTGGCTCCATTTATTTACAGGTAAGGAGGCCTCTGTACTTCATATTCAGCTGTGTACCATTCAGTTAGAGGGTCATGTCTAAATCTTTTATTCTGAAGCTTCACATCTAGAGCTCAATATAAAACTTAGTGTGGAAACTCCACATATGAGCACATCCTTTTCTCTCTGAAACCTGGGCTCTCAAAAGTTTACACTTTGTCAAAGGCATGAAAGAGCCTAAGTGTCATGACTTTCTCCTGTGCTTAATACCATCCTCCTACAACTATTTTATGCATGGCAATTAATAACTGCTGCTGTTACAAGCTGTCTTTTAAACTAATTCTCATTCTTAAGGCACTGACAGTCAAATTTTGTTGTCAAACTTGGGAGAAAGAATATGATAATGATTAAAGAAGCAGGCCCTGGGAGCAAACATGTGGATTTAGTTCTCAACTGTACTATTGACCAGCTACATGACTTTAGACAAGCTGCCTAAAAATCTTATTTCCTTCAGCATTAGTAGAGCTTAAAATGTTGAAAAGTTAATAAATCACTAAGTGTATCTTTTAAAACTGCATTCACAAACCAAATGTATGTTAATTTTACACTACTAGTTTTAAGTTTCTAGGTAAGAAAAATTACTTAAATA